AACGTGTGAGAGGGAGGGAGAAGAGATAATAAGACGGCTAAAAGTGTCCACCTTTTAGTCACATATTACTTCCGAAGTATTAATAAAAAGTAGTAGTCCACAACACACTCTAGTCTGATATTGTTATTTAGTTATTGAAAGGGGCTTACAGATTAGGTGTAAATTAATAAGTAAAACATACTGAGAGTATGGATATTTTTCATATATAATATGAATGGCTATGAATAACATTAAATATTAACTATATACTTTATAAGTCACCAAAGCGAACTATCAAAATATAGGATGCGGAAGAATATATGATAAAATATAATTCGAATACACTATTCGAAAAAAAGTTTCTGCAGAAAATTAATGGAGCTTTGAGATCTGTCTTATGTGAATACCATAACCGAATTTTTGTAACCATGCTATTACCTAAACTCAGAAATAATTCAAAGTCGTAGTGGGTGCTGAAGGTGGCTTTTAAAATCAGTCAGGCATTTATTTACAGTCTAAATAAATAAAAAAGGCATCGTACCCCATTTATGTCTGTAATTGTTAATATGAATGTAATCGACATTAACTTCAATAAAAATTTCGTATTACAAAGGCCAACAAATTCATTAAGATTATTTTATTTATGCAGCAGTAATCTTTAATATCGTATATGTTGTACCTTTTCCTAACTGACCTTTGGTTTATTGTAAATTGCTGATTTTACACTCTAATTTTATTAGGCATCACTCGCGCAATACTCAGGGTTAATTGAAAATATTGTCCAAGTTGCATTAAAATTAAACTTACTTAAGACAATGGAGTGGATTCTACAATCTAAATGTTTTGTGGATGATTGACCCACAAATTATAGGATTGCGTATGCTAAAATGTGGATTATAAGAGTTCACTGTAGAATAGTAGAAATGCAAGAATTTCAGAAATACATCAAATATTATTAATTTTCGTCTAAAGATAAGAGCTACTAGAAGACGTTAAAAATATTAATAAAAGTTTCGCCACGAGGAGTTATGTGCACGTTTTACTTGCAGTATTATAAATAAAATTACTATTGTATATTATTTACTATGTTTATACAATGTATACTCGCATTGGTTTGCGCTTGTGTGTTGAGACTATTAATCGGACGATATTCCACTCAAATTTTGCTGTTCAAATCATGCAATCTCGCCTGCAAATGTGTGTGTGCATATGTATGTACATACATATGTACGAAAGTATATTGGCGCTCATAAATTTATTTAATTATTCATTCGCCCTTGATTTTATCTGAAGAAATTTCGCTAAAAAATACTAAAAGTCCCATATCACATACTATCTCGGAATAGTTTGAATATAAGTATTTACATGCATTAGGGTGTTAACTGTTTGCCTTTATTAATTTTTTTTTATTCAAATAGATTCTTCGTCTGGAAGTTTTTAAATTTAATTATATTTAATTGCATTTTTAAAGCGTAAAATTTTATTTATGAGTTGTAAAATAAAATTCTATAGGAGTTATTTACTAATAAATCATGCGCCTGCTTTAGAAATAAAGTAATAGTACGGTTATTTATATTATTATTAACATAATTTTTACGAAAGAAATTAAAACAAGAAAAAGCGTCAAGTCAAATACAAATGATTCCATATAAGAACTTTTTTTAGATCGGTCAGTTTGTATGGAAGCTATATACTATACCGGTCCGGTCTGAACCATATATTCGAAGATTGCACCGTTACCTTGCCCAATTGCGTGAATATATTTTGTCAAATAAAAAAAGGAGCTTGATTTTGATCGTTCAGTTTGTATGACAGTGGCTAAATGCTATAGTGGTCCGATATCGGCGGTTGCGACAACAGAGCAGCTTCTTGGGGAGAAATGGGCGTGACCGATATCTCACAAACTGAGGGACTAGTTCGTGTATTTACAGACAGACAGATAGACGGATTCACCAACGGACATGGCTAAATCGACTCAACTTCTCACGCTGATCAATTACATATATACAGATGTATGTATGTACGCTTCCATAATATAGACGTCAATCAAAACAAATAAAATAAATTTAAATAAAACTGTATTTTTCGCACACTGATAAATCATTAATTTGAGAAATGGAGAGTTAATGAGTTTTTCTACAAGCCTTAATAATATAATTTTATATGTATATAAAAAAAATATCACGCATACAAATACACATAAGTACTGAAAGGCAACATGCCATACAGTCACTAATTATTCTTTTTGTGTAAGCAATAGCTTTTTGGAAGCAATAGAAACTCGAACAAATTCTTTGGCTGTTTTCAATATTTTATTAAATTTCGTCAAGTAATAATTATTACATACAGACTTCCTGACTGTTATGTCTCCATTTTTGTATAGGAGCACACTCTTTTGAATATCACATGTCTGGCGATTGTGCTATGAAGTATATTCGCATATGAAGTATATACATGTACATATATATGTATGTATGTATGTACATATCCATATAGTATAATATATAGTATACATATTTCTATTTTATTTGCTCATTCGCTGTTATAAGCATATGAAGTAGATGCATTCGAATTTATTAAGAATTGAAGAATTATTTATTTCATATATACATACATATGTACATGTACCAATGATTATCGCGGTTAAGTAATGATTTTCTAGTGTACTAAGATTTTCATAAAATCAACATACGCTTACCACGTTCTCAACACAGAACTGCCTCTAATACATTCCTTTTGAATAGCTGTACTTCATAAATTTAAAAGTTGAAAAACCATAACCCATGCTAAAATAAAAGTACTCGGTTATTATATAAGTATGTACTCTTTCAGTATAAATGTACCATCGCGTGATGTGTTATTTATCTAAGCAGAACAAATAACTGATATAGTGCTTTATTACCCTCCATATACTTAAGTTCAAAACAGGATCATACGATATACTAAATATTTACATACATATATATACATATATACTTATATATATATATATATATATTGTATATATAGTCAGTATATATATAGGTACATATATATGTATGTAAATTTTTCGTTTATCGTACTCAACCTATATACTTACATATGTATATATACGAATTAGGGGCGTATGCGCCGTGCTGACCACGTTTAATAAGTGTTAATTAATATTATATTTATAATTTAACTTGAATGCAGTTAATCGGTTTTGTCTATGAGTTGTCTTTATAATATTTATCTTAATTCTCCACAGCTAACGGGAAGAAGCTGTTAAATTGACAGTTCTGACAGTTTTCTTCGAAATAATTTTATTGAATGATACACTGAATGTGAGTTGTTTTTGGAAGCTGCGAGGTACCAATTTTGCGTTAAAGATAAAGAGAGTCGAAAAAAGAGAGAGCCTCTGTAAATTAAGACTCATCGTTTTATCGTTTTTCTTAAATAATGATATAAATTTCTTTCCTCTGATTGCATTTTATAATTCGAACTATCCTATCCCGGACTTCCTAAATAATAGTTCCGATAAAATATAATCGTGATTTAAAGAAGTCAGCATACTCTTGGAGGTTTGTTATTGTCTTTTGAAGGGCTAACGCTTAATCATAAAATATCCTATAAATTAGTTTTTCAGTATTTTTTTGTAATATTTACATAATTTTTGGATCCTTGAAAAGTCATAATTAATGCTTCGTTATTTTGATTTAATACATATGTACATACTTACATACATGTACAATACATATGAGTATATTATTGAATGCAAAGGCCACTGTTGCCTGGGTTTGTCACATATTTTTCGTGACTTACGAATTAAAAACGACCTGTCGTCTTGACTCCAACTGTCGATATACTACATAGTATGTATGTATGTAAATTTCTTCGTCGAGTAGTAATTTAGCCCGCCTTTATGCACTTTAAATTTTCTGTACTTAATTGACGTTATTTCTAGCGCAAAATTCTTAAAATTTAAATTATGCGTATCACTCTAATCGCTAGAGGCCCGTAGAAGAGAAACCGTTAGCTTACACGGTTGGTTGAGCACCTACAGCCACCCTGCATATGTATACATATGTACGAGTATGTATCTAAGTATAATACGTAAATATTTACGTGTGTTGTCATTCAAATTCGCTGACCACATGCAAGGCTATTAACCGCTATCGCGCCACATTTGTCTTGCAGTGATGTAATGCACGCTAACGCTGCCGCTACTGATTAGAGACGATGACCATTGTGACGGCGGCAATAAAGTATGCGTCTGCGTTGCCGGCATTTCACTTACATTGATATTTTCTCATGAATTGCTGTATTATTACACATATGTATTATGTATGTATGTATGGAAATATGAAATAGAAAAGCATGGCATCATGTGCTTTTGGGTTTTTTACTTACTAGAAAGATTATACACTTAATGAGTAACTGATATTTGTTACTTTTAGTAAAGTACACGAACATGTACCATAGTTTTATATTTTTGTATGTATTTTTGAAAGGCTATGCGCATACTTCTTAGTAACTTATTATCATACTAAGATTTGATAAATTACTTGAAATATGTATAGTTGAGTGACTGTCACAAGTGCATACTTATAGTTTCGTTGCTAAACATTAATATGTACGTGTGCACGTGTATATATGTACATATTTAAGTATGTGTATCAAGCCCTCAAAAGTTAATATATTTGGAATAACTATTACCACCTTATTCATACATATGCTTATAAGTATACATATGTATGTCAATATTTGCTTATACACAGGTACAAATTAATATACTCGTACACTATATATGTATGTACACATATTTCGGCACTCGCAGGCAATATGCAAACGCTCAACAGATGCGTCACGTACACGTAGACCGACTGACATAAATTCTAACGTATATAAATATATACAATGCATGTATATAGGTATATTGACAGGTAGCAAGATAAAAATCAAGAATTTCGCACATGCACACACAAATTATATAAATACACAGATTTCTATTTAAGCGAGCATATATGTATGTATGTATACAAAACTAGATATGCACTAACCAGTCTTTGGAGGAAAGGAAGAATTATGCACGTATTCTTTTTGTGGTTCTAATTCACAGCCAGGTCGCAATCCAGATGCCACGCCGGATGTGTCACTTTAAACAAAAACCTAAATAAATAATACTGTCCGGTTGTGGGTTGCTTCGTGGAAGAGTTTCGTTGAAATGTTGAATGTTTCGGAATCGATATGCACTTACACTGATTTACTACTATATATTTATATATGTATTTATACAAATATTTGTAGAATATCGGTATGCTTTTTGGGCTTTGCAATTAATTTCACTTTTGGTTTTATGGCTTTGGCCTCGATTCTGCACGGACACAATCACACAATTTATGAACTTGAAATTCGAAACACTTGAATAAAAATCACACTCTATTTTTGTTCTAGTTACTGCATTGCCGTGCGTGTACACTACTCAAATGGAACAGCGTAAGTTAGGAAATTGAAGTGTTTAGGTGGGTGGGTAGTCACTGTTGAGTTGTGCGCGTCTACACCGTCGGGGTGGTTAATGGTGATTGTAACAGTTACACAGGTATATATACATAAGTGGATATGTTGTTGGTGGACGTTCTCACTAACGTATATGTCGGTGTTTATTTGTATATGTATAAGCCTCCGAACTTGCGTACATTTAGATACCACTGAAAGCGACGATGTATCTGCAACTACTGAACTCTTTAGATACTAATGTGTGGACATGAGCTCGCTGCCATTAAGTTGAGAACCATCGTCGTTTTCAATTTAAATTTCAATGGCAACGCCGCCGTCGACGGAAGCGGGAACCGCAGCGACGGCAGCAGCCACAACGGCAGTCAGTTGTAGAGCGTTGGCGGTAGAAATCATACAGGCAAGTACTATATGTGTATGTGTAGTCAGCAAGCCGGCTTCCAGTCAAGTAGTTAATACAGAGAACATAAATGAAATTGTTCTAAGTTCTCTGGTTAATCAACAGATAATATTGCTTTCATACATACATACTTATATACGTGTGTAGGTGCTTATGCAGGCTCGTGATACATCAGAAACATTTTTATTCGGCATATTCATAACTGGGACAACAGCAGCGGCGGTTTTCTCAAAATATATCAAAAAAAAAAATGCGCAAAATAAACGAAATAAATGTTAGAAGTTATAGTTACATATATCAGTGTATTTGTAGGCGGTATGGAATTGTATCTACTTATTTGAAAACGCGACCGGTACGAAATGACAATGAAACGGTGTTCAAAACTCATTTTGCGGCAGAAGAGAGCGACATGCGACCTTTTAAGAGAGTATTAGAGTACAGTGTTGCCGTTCTGCGGGGTTAAATATAAAATTTGTTGAAGTTTTATTTGATTTTAATAATTTTCTAAATGTCTTTGGAAGTTACTACCGAATGCCAAATTATTGAAATATAAATAATTACTTGGAGTGGTAGCATTGCTTGAATTTTTGTGAATAAAAAATGAGATAAATGTTCGCTATTGATAAGAAAAATCTTATATCATGATTATACTCGTACGTATATAATTATGTAACAACACTAAAATAACTTCTAAAGAGTAAATAAAATAAGTAGAAACAAAAATATATTTCACGTACCGTAGTAGTTTTGACATTTCTCTTCTTTAAATAATAGCTCTAATGTTAAATTAATGTATGTATGTATGTATCTAGACATATGTATACATTTTAATTGTTATTGAACCTTTAGCTTTCTGCCTTATGTGGACAGTTGACCACTAAATAATAGGAGTGCCAACATGAAAACTGTATTAGTCTGCATATTTATATAATATAATAAAATGCATAAAATACGAAACAAATTTTTAATGTAATGATCGTTATTCTTGCTTCACTTTACTAGTTCTCCGATACCCTTTTTTTGCTTTCCATAAAAATAAAGCAGTGGTAGACATTTCCTTTTTAGAATTTCAAGTATATTAAATCTAAAATATAATCGGAAAATTAGATTTATATTTGGGTCAGCTGAATTCACAATTCAATTATTTGGTAGTAAAAGTTTAGAAACTTTTTTCAGCGTTCGCTTAACACGAATATAATCCCTGAGAAACCGCCAAAATGGCGGCGCTAAAAATATGATAGAGTTTCACATTGGAGTTGGTCCAATTGTCTTCATTGAAGGCGACATGGATCAAGTGGTATATGTTAAATATTAGATAAAGTAATGTTACTATATTCCTGATGGAAGAAAACATTTATATGGGCATACCAACATGAAAATGACGCTGAACATGTCAGCAAGTGTGAATAAAAGTTATGTACACAGTCAACGGAGTCGAGGTTATGCTTCAGTCTGTTCAGTCTCCTGGCCTCAACGCCATAAAAAAAACCTCACGGCAGATATGAAAAAAGTATTTCTGCACGAAAACCAACCATTTTGAGAGATCCGCGTCAGGTAGTAAAGAAAGTTTCGGAATGATTACAATTTGAAAGTTGCGAGGATCCACAGACTCTACTTCCAGGAAGTGTGATTCTCTGTTTAAAAAACTCGAAGCTATTTAATGAAATACTTATGAATTATTTTCTTATACCGTAAAGGTTTAAAAACCTTTTATGTTAAAATTTTGAAAAAAAAATTTTTTTCGCACTACATCGAATATTTCTATTTTTATGTGGAACTAGTTTTTTAGTTTATTTAGCATAAACTGTGATATAAAAAATTGTTTAAATTTTAATTGATATATATGGACTATGGAAATATTAATACATCATTATTGAATATGTTGTGCAAAAATTCTGTGACAAAAAACATATTTATTGTTTAAAATTGAAAGATTCGTTTTGTTCAGGTGTTCACTCCTACCTTTTTTTATGGACAACTGTGTATGTACATGAGAAGCTGGGGTAATTTATCCGTTTTCCACACTAAATTATAGCATACCGAAGCATATATGGTATATACGTTCACTTAATTTTGCTAATCTTATCTTATCTTACATGTTGAACGATATATAAGGTATAAAGTCGACCCGGAGTTTGAAATTATTATATTATATAAGGTATAAAGAGGCTAGTGGATCTATTGATCCGATTTTACCAATTTTGAACAACATTATTTGATTTGAGCACATTATTATCAGAAAAATATGAATTTCACTACGACATTTTACAGAGTGACCGATCTAATACTTCATTGATGCTTAGCTTATACATACAAGTATACTTTGAAAGGAAATAATCAGATGGAATTGAAAAGAGTGTATTACATGGGAAAAGACGTGGTTGTTTCCGATTTGGCGCTTTTGCACTTTGGCGCTTTAAATACTTTCATTATTCGTTATTCGACGAAACTGTAAATGAATTATAAACATGTTTTGTAATAAGTTTTAATATCAGTCAATGACTCACTTAGCTTCTTTATTCTATTTTATTTTATATCCTAAATATTTCTAATAAAATCCATCTAACTTACACAAATTGCTTATTCATCATACCAATAGCTATAATTTTTGCTACAAATGATATAATGCTAATCGGAATATTTTTGCTTAATTCCAATGACATATCTTCTATTGAGTTAACGAATTTTATTATATTGGAAATATGTAGGTTAGAGTGTATATACTCTTACGTCACATCAGAAGTGTGTATCAATATTGTTTCGATAGTTTTTTAAGGCTTATCGTCCCAATAAAAGTATTCGCGAAATTTCGTTTGATTTATCTATAGGTTTCGCATATATATTTCTTACTTTATATTCATTTAGTAACTAAATGGTAAATGGATGAGTATGCAATTTTTTACTTAGTCACACCTAAGTAAAGATCAATGACAAAGGTGCGAAACATAAAATTTTACTAAGAACAAATGTTATAAAACATGGGCGCTAACGAATATTTGGTTTAATTCGTCTATACGCCTATCAGTAGTAAAAATGTGGAAATAAAAAACTATACATTTATTTCACATTACATTCTTACAACTAAAATTACATTTTTCTTTTTTCGATCTGGAGCTTTGGACACATTTGATATTAGAAGTTAATCATCTAGAAAAATCTTGATAAATATGAGTTTCGTTATAAGAGCCTTGTAGTTACCATTTACTTGTCTTAAGCCGCAGAAAACCGTTATGTAGTCAATGTGTTGACCTAAACGACTATTTTCTCCAAGGCTAAAGCATATAGAAAAAGCAAAAAAATAAAAATAAAATGAGAGACTTATGTTGTGGCTAGTTATAAATTTACAAAATTCAAACCTTCTCATCACAGAAATCAAACAGATATCGACCCTTACCGACCAACTGTTGGGATCCCGTTTCACGATTTTTTCGTAACACACGTTGGAAGACCCTTGCGGAGTTATTCATAACTGCTTTAAAAGTAATAGCTACAAACAACGTTTTAGTATTGCATATACTACTTTCTTTAATGGCCTGGAAATGTAAATATCTCCATTTACAACCTTTCTGGCGCCGCTTGATTCTTCTCTGCCAGGAACGTTGTTCATACTTCCAGTCAACGATCACATCAAATTAATCTCCAAGCAGTTCTAGCTCGGATATTGATATTGAAATTATCGCTGCACATACTTATTGTGGATATTCCAGTAAGTTAAATTAATCTTGATATATGTTTTTCATGATAATAACTACCACGTTGCATACCCACCCTAAACCAACTCAACTAAAATTTTTTTCCTTTGGTATTTTTCTGTCGAAACAGCTAAGTTTAAAGGTCTCCTGTTAGCTAATACATAAACACATGTTAAATAGTTTGTTTTGTTAAAAATTTATTCAATTCGATTTATTCGTTTCACCAATAAACTTTAATCGTAAATAATTGTTCATGACTCATTATATACGGTAACAATCTCTTACAATTTTTCGGCACTTTTAACTGTTGGAATATAGACGAATTTTATTTCAATGCAACCTCGAATAATAAACGATTACTTTTATTGCATATTATCAACAAAGTTTTGAGTTTTATAAGACTCGTGCCGAGTTACATACAGACAAATGTAATTTGTACACCTAATAACAGTAAATTATAAAAAATGTTACCCGCAACTTACGAATTTTTGTTTACATAAAGAACGAAGAAATGGCGGTAGAAAAAAATTGTCTAAAAATATAACGGATTGGTCGGCATAACATTTAAACATTGGTTACTTTAAGCAATTGGGGTTAATAAAAAATATACAATTAATTAAATATTATAAACTATATGCTAAAGTTTGAATGTTTGCACAAAATTATTTTACGTTTCAAGTTATGTGGCAATAAAATGTAATTTTGAAAAGGCAAAAAAATTGAAATTATAAAAAGTTTTCGTTCTAATAACAAATAAACACACGTTTTCCAACGTCTAACACTAACAACATAAGTGGCATACATAATTTTTATGTATTTAGTATGTATGTATGCATATGCGACTGTTGTGATAGTCCTGACTATTGGTCGATGATTTTAGTTAAACTATTTATCCGAAAACCTTTTCGAAGCATTCGTGGCAATATGGCTTGTCGTTTTGTTCTTTGAAGGTGCCCTTATTGAGCTGCTTCAAGCAGAAGGCGCACACAAAATGTTCCGGATGGAACTTCTTGAACATGGCAGTAATGCAGCGACCTGTGATGGGTTTAGAGCAACCGGCGCAAAGGGAGCCACGTTTTGCATGGTAATGTGTCTCACAGTAGGGTAGACCTTCGTGATCGAAGAAAGAGCCACCTTGGAAGGGCCGCCGACAGTCCTACAAATAAATAGGTGAACATTAAATTAGTTATGAAAATAAGATTATTTTATTATTATAACATTAAAGTACGAAGTATGCGATAAACCAGCTCAGCAGCAGAGTCAAAAATTATATAGCAATTATAATATTTCGAAGCGTGTGAAATAATTGGACATTTTTTAAGGGTCTCGGTTATGAGTGGTACGTATATATCTAATTTTGTATTAGCGAAATTGATTGGAAGTGATATTTAATTTACAAATATCGTTATTATTTTCATATATTTTATGCTAGTTTTTCATAATTGTTTCCGCACACGTAATCTTCAAGCTATCTGTTTCATCCTATCCTATTTCAATTTAACTTAGATTAAAACGCATAACTAAAGAGGGTATTATAGTGTAGAATTTCAAAAATATCTATTTTTTTATTAAATTTTAAAATTTGCATTTAAGTTTTAGGTTTAAAATTTTTACTATTTTGAAAAAATACGAAAAAAAAAGGTAAAAAAAATACGAAAAAAAAGGTAAAAAAATACATTTTTTTTCAAACAGTCGCCATTTTACCAAACAAAAATTTTTTTACTTATCGCTAGCTTATACAATTGCGACATCATTGCAGATTGATAATTATTTTTTCATTTCAGATGATTAAGAGGGTTGAAATCATGAGTATGCTCATGTGCCATTTTTTTGAGAACCCCACTTCATCAGCTGCCACTTATTTAAATTTTTAACAATTTTTTTTTTAATTTTTTTCTGTACTCTTGTAACATTAATAAATAAGTGATAAAAAAAAATTGATGGTAAAATATTGATTTTTTTACACTTTAAAAATTACCTAAAATTCATGTCTCTAGACTAAAATACCCCCTTAAAAAAGCAAAATGTTTTAAAATATGCGCTGTTACAGGTTGGTTGAAAAGTGAGTAGTGCTCACCACGAAATACCATCACTAGCTCAAATTTTCTTTTCTCAAGTTGGTACATCATCGTGAGAACCCATGCAAAGTTACAATTTATTCTGTCAATTAAGTTTTTGTTAACAGGCCATTCGTGAATTTAAACGTGGTCGTACAAGGCTTAAAGAAGTCATTGAGCAAGTTCATAATATTGTTAGTGAAGATCCAAGTTTGACTAAGCGTAAAATTGATAATGCCATAGGCATTTTCTTTCTCAGAATAATTTGGAGCGTTTTGAGCAGAAGAAAACCGATTTCTTGCATCGTTTTATAACTATGAATGAGACTAGGATCTACCACCATGATCCTAAATTGAAACAAGAACGTTTACAGTGGACTGAGGAGGACTGGTTGTTCAGCTCCAAAGCAGGTGAAGTCACAACGATCAGCAAAGAAGGTTATGGCATCAGTTTTTTGGATGCCAAATAAATTTTGTTGATTGAGTATCTGCAGAAGGGTAAAACAATCAACTCTGAATATTACTGCAACCGTTTGGATATGCTGGATGAAAAAACTCGTGAGAAAAGACATGGTTTGCAGCACAAAAAATCATTTTTCATCAAGACAATGTACCTGCTCACAAAGGTATTTTAACAATGGTAGAATTCAACGAATGAAAGTACGAGTTGTTTGAGCATCCACCGTATTCAACAGATTTGGCTCCCAGCGACTACTATCTTTTTAAAAATCTGAAGTAGTTCCTTCGTGGAAAGTGGAAAGGATAAGCTATTATAGCCATAGTCGGAGATTTTGCAGAGCCTCCGGAAATTCATTATTAGGATGGCATAAAATTATTGGAGAATCATTGGAATAAGTGTATTGAAGTTAAGAGAGATTATATTGAATAAAAAAATATATTTCGTACCAAAAACAGTATTTTTTCATTTAGAGCGCAGACACTTTTCAACCAACCTGTATTTACTTGCTTTAATGCATCTAAAAGGAAGATGTATATACCCTCTTGTTGCACAATATGTACTACAGTTATATGCACATATGTATAATACGAAAATAATTAAAAAAAATAAAAACTTCACAGCTTTGGAAAAACGATTTTCATATGCCTCAGTGGTTTTCCAAATAACAATTATTGCAAATAAAATCTAAATATTTTACACATTTGATGCAAATTAATAAGAAATCCATTTAGCCAACGAAAAGAAAAATACGAAAATTTGTGATTTCAGTCTATAAACAATATACAATGTTGTCCACACCCATTTCACAATGGCTCTTGTATGCCGAAAATGCTTTCAATGCGTTGAATGAACGACAGTCACAAATAAATTACGCCATATTCAAATGCATTTCATTCTCATCAATGTAATAAATTAATTTTCATTAAGCGAGCGAAATCTTATTTTGCATATAAGCGAACAAAAACACAGACCACACAAGCACAACAACACTAGAATAGCAACGAAAATGAAATATGAATTGAAGAATTGCATTTATGCAAAGCCATTAGATCGTTTACAACTGTTATGCGCTTTGGCATTCTGACAATGCCACCAACACTGTGTACTGTGAGAGGTAAAAATTTGTCGCTAGCACATAAAGTGGCATTATAAATTGCCCTCAAGACGTCAAGAAATATTTGGTCTACTCAAAAGATTGAAACACAATTAAAACAATACATATAAAAAAATAAAAACATATGAAGATAAATTCATAATTGCGTTGCGGAGGTATAAGGATCAATTCGCAGCGGTATGACGTCACTGACACTTGCAGAATTGCTGGTATATTCTGTTATTAGCTATTTCAAAAATCTAGTTTTCAGTTTGGTTATGAGTTTTGGAAAATCTACAATTACTTTTGTGACGCTGCATTAACTTTAGACTTTTCCAACACAAGAATCTAATTGATGTTGTAAAATTATGGAAGCCTCCGCTTGATAACTAGAAAACATTATGAAAATTTCAAAATTTTCTAGGTCAAATCAAATTTTTATAGCGTTTTTCCTTAAAACCTAATTCAATAGCACGAGCTTACAGTAGTTGAAAGTAGTACGATTTTTAACAGTGGCTTTTGAAACTCTAAAAAAGCAAATCAACTGGACTTGGAATTGTTACGATTATGGCTGATTTAGCGTGATTCGTTGTTAATTTCGTTTATTATTATTAGAGAATGAAATTATTTTGAATATTTTGTTTTAACAATTTTATGCCGTAAACGTGTGAACAAAGTTGGCATTATATTATATGGTAAAAACCAGTAGAGGTTGCGTATACGCACTGTCGAACAAAGAGCAAACTAAAATGACACTATTAATTCTTAAATGCTTAACAAATTTTGTTTCAGCGATCTTTTCTACAAAATTGATGCATCACATACCGTGATTGTGAAGTTTTTAAAATTATTTTTAATAATAATACAAAATACATAAATATTTCTCGTACTTCTCTTGAATTCTAACATAAGCACAGCACAATAATATAACTTAGTAAATACAATTTAGTGTGAATATTAATAAAAAAATACTAACTAACCAAAAACGAAAAATAAAATATCCAAATAAATTGAAATTTTCTAATACTAGCATCTATTAATTTTTTCAGTAAAATAAAATATACTTTTATTATACTAAATATTTTTGAAAATGTATAGTGCTTATATTTTGATAATTAGGAGGGTATGGAAAGTAAGTTATATACTTCAATAGATGTATTTTATTGTTATATAATAAAGTTTTGTTGTTGTTGCATCGACAAAAATACTAAAAGGTTTCATGCAAAAAATTGATTTCGATCGGTCAGTTTCTATGGCAGCTTTATGCTATACTGTTTCGATTTCAACATTTTTTAGAAGATTGTACCGTTGCTTTAGGCAATAATATAAGTCCCATTTCATTAAGATATTTCGTTCAATAAAAAAGTTTTCCATACGAGACATTGATTGAATATACCCTCTACAGAGTACAAGGAATAAACAATTTGAAAAGTACGCCAAATTAAAAGCGTAATTTGTTCATTTCTACGAGTATGTCGCATATTTCGCGTAAAACTCAAAAAATTTGTCATTGCTGGCAACCTGTCAAATGAACTAGGATCTGATAGGCAGACAAACAAACAGCGACTAGCTTTGAAAGCGAAATTTAAAACATATTAACAAAGAGAACAGGTAAGACATTATTATGATTGAGCGGCAAATGCGTTGAACAGCTGCAGTCGTTGAAGAAATAACATTGTAAAAGTTTCGAAAAACATATACGAAATACGTTCAAGAGCAACTGACGTGATTTACATAAAAGAACACATATGTATGTATATGCTTTTGAAAGAGACATATGTAAGTATTTGTATGTATGTATGCTTGATATGTGGAAGGTAGGGTGAGCCCCTTTTTGATCTGTGACCTTTGTAATTTAACTGGTATTTTAGGTTCCGGTCTAAGGATAACTGTAATTGGTTATTAGCCGTCAAAAGTGAATTTATTAAAACGATTTGACGAATGATTTTCGTTGATATAGCAACAACAAAGTAACATTAGAAGCGTAACAACTTTTTTATAACTTAATTTTTTAAATTATATATTAAAATCATTTGAGTTTTTTAACTATACTTCTAATTTATAATAAATATTTTTGCATCTAATTAAGTTATAAATATTTATGTAAATTTTTAAGAGAACTTTAGAACAGTTTTAGAAAGAAAAACAGAATCTTTTGTTAGTGAATTACTAAATAAAAATAATTTTTTTCTTAATAACATTTGTTACTCTAAATCTACTTATTCAGCTCTAAATAAATTTAATTTTTTAAATTTACTTAGCTAATTGAAATGACATATATTTTTTTATACTTAGTTTGGAACATAATTAAAGATATTATTATATGTATATGGAACTACCCTAAATTATGATATATTCGCAAGCAATATTTTTTCCTCTAATATAAAAAAGAATATATAATATATACAAGGCAATGTTTATAATTTGTTTGAATACAAACAAATAGAAAATAAAATAATGTGGGTGTTATTGAAGAGAATATTATAAATAAAACAAATACGCGGTAATTTTTTTTTTGATAAATTAAGAAATATATACGTATGTATATATAATAACTGTTAGTGTATATGTATGCGTAATACATATAAATACATATGTATTATATATAGAAATAAGCACATACATATGCTTATATATACAAGTATATATGTAAATATATAAGTATCTGCACGTACATAACCACATGTGTTTGAAGGTCACATGCGAAGCGCCCTCCAAAATATCGTCTTCGAGGTCGCAGGCCTACTTCGAATGAACGAAAGTATGGAAAGCGACCACCTTGCTATCGTCAAATTAAGCCTCATGGTGGCCGTGACGAGTGCAAGGTCTCGGACCCAATCGCCTCTCTACCGGCATGATAATCGTGAATGTACGATACACGCCAGATAGAGTCTGACGAGTTTGATATGTGTGTTTTTGTGTTTGTGTTTTTTTTTTGTTATTTTTTTTTTATATTATTTATATTTTATTTTTTATTTACAAATAAACAAATTACAATAATATTGCCTTGTATTTAAAAATACCTAAACTTAACCTAATTCATAATTGATTCGATTTGTTAGTTATTATACCTTCACTTCTGCTATGCTCATCGAATTTCCATTCGATACTAATTCAGTTAGTTTAACCAGTAGAAATAAGAGATATACGTGTGTATTTATAAATTATATGTTACAATAGTATATTCTTGAGGCACGGTGGCACAGCTGTTAACTATGCAGAAAATTCAAAAGTTCAGGGACAACATAAGGCCATGGGGCATGAGCAGGGACACAATCACTCTACCATTTGGTGCACGTACCAATGGTTAACGAGTTCATGCGTACGCACTGCCACGCCTGCAGGTATCACGGGGGTATCAACAGCAACAACAGGAATATATATTAACTTATTATAGCAGCATAAACGGCGGCGATCGCATATTTTGACGATGAGGAAGAATCAAACGAAATCCAATTAGTTGTTGTTTTTTGTGCATTACTTTTCAATGGAACACTTAACGGTGTGTGTGGGTGTTTTCTTGTGTTTGTGTATATGTATGTTTGTGTTCATTTTTTGTTTAATTTCGATTTGTGTCTAGGTGTTTGTGCATATATGTACGTATATGTGTGTGTTTGTGTGCGTGTTCAACCGCATTGCTGTTTACTTGTGTAAAATATCAGCAAAAATAGAAACTCTGTTTTCCCCTATATCTCAAAACGATCGACCGAAACGCACGCAGGCTGCTGTTCTTGTTTTTGTTTTCAATTTTTGCACCCGCCACGCACGAACTAAATATAATAAGCATGCATACATTCTAAAGTATGTATATTATCGCATAGCTTTATGTGTAGCTGATTCAATTTTGTTTTTGCAAAGTTTTAAATTGACTCAAAATTAATGAAACTTTTGAAATTAAACAAACAACAAAAAACAAAAAGTAACAAAAGAAATCAAATTTTACGAAAACCGTTGCTACGAATTTGGAGAAATTGAGTTCTCCATAAAATCAAATTGTAACTCGGTTTATTCTTCCTCATCTACACCCACGCATGATGGACAGACGGGTTTGCCTTCCATGGCGTAGAATGATTTTCCTCTCACCGCTTTCTTGCAATCCTGTAAAGGTGAAAATTACAAATAATTTGAGAAACACATAAATATACAACGGTTTCTTTAAATAGAGTACAATGCGTGTGCAAGCAATTGTTGTAAAAAGAAATCTCAGTTTCGCAATTACACTGTAAATTTGTGGATTTATACCCCAAATACCCCCGCATCACGTAAGCTGCAGAGCTGTTGCATATTGAAAGCGAAAATCTGCATCTCACTTACCCGGCAAACGAAGCAGTCAGGATGCCATTGCGAGTTCAACGCCGAGATGTAGTTTTCCATAATAGCACGATTGCAACCATTGCACTTGGGCGCGAACATTTCAAAGTAATCGTTGCGACAATAGGGTTTGCCGTCGCGTTCATGGAAACCGTCCTCACCAAATTGCTGTCCGCACTGTGCGCAGAAGAAGTGCTCCGTATGCCATGTTTTATCCAAAGCTGTTACACATTTCTGCAAACGAAAAGGATTATTCATAATTTCAACTCAAATATTAGACATCAGTGCGTACATCTAAAATAGCGCCATTGCAGTAAGCGCAACGTGGACTGAACAAGTTGTGGTAATCCGGCTCACAGTATGGGAAGCCATCGCGTTCGAAGAAGTTACGTGTGCCCAACTCCTGGTTACAGTGATTGCATGTGAAGTGCTCTGGATGCCAGGTCTTGCCTAAGGCTGTGATCACTTGGCCCACAATTGGCTTTTCGCAAGCATTGCAGCAGCCCTTTTGTACGGTATTGACTCCTTGACGACTCATATTGGCTTGTAAACTACCAAGCATAGAATCCAACTGATCTGGTTCGTTATCTTCTACAACGGTAGAAGTGGTTGTTTCGGTGATAGTTTGCGTTAAGTGTGACACGCCCTTATTCGGCTTAGCGTAATCGGTAACTGTCTGGTGGTGATGGTTCGAACCGTTATTAACCTAAAAATAGTGATGATACAAAAATTTAGATCCTTTATTAAATTTTTGGCCGTTTGTGAAGGATTGAAAAAGTATATCCTATGTACATATATATACTTGTATATATATATATATATATATATTTAAATTTTTAAGTTGTATGCCGCGTTGCCTTACGTTCTCGTGTGCGATCTAAAGCGTCTGGTGAAAATTTTCAAACTGAAAATACTTTTATGCGCGCCGAACTCAAAAACTTAGCAATCGGTTGTCGTGTCGAGCACAACAACAAAATAGCAACAACAAAATAAATTGAAAAACATAAGAGGCAGCAAATAAATGAAGAGCAAAAAAAGACGATGACCGTGCTACGGACTGGCCACTGCGCCGACGCAAGTAGCAGCTTTACAACTGGGCAGCTTTGGTATTGCCAAAAAATGTCTATATGAAGTATGCCGGTCAAACGTCGGCAGCGGTATGTATGAGAGTGTGTGGTTTCCCTTAAACAAGCGAAACTGATTTTGGTTTTTCCTCGGCCCCATCGATACACCCCTGGGGTATTCCCATTTGCTGCATTTTCCACGTTCTGCTAACATTCAACAAACAATTAATTATAATGTGTGGGTGTTGATATTTTGCCCAAAAGTCATTCTCATTACTGATACTATTCCTTAAAACCGAACATCGGGGACGACGATGTAGTCTAGAAGACTCACAGTTAAGTTACAAATCGCACGTACGACTTTTACGAGTTTGTTTAAAAATAATATTAATTTTGTGCCTTATTTCGTTTTTGTTTCAATAAGCGGGTCGTTATAATCTAGAACAGTTTGGAACATAAAATGGTGACTGCAGAAGTGCGATAAATTAATTGGAAGACAGATGTGACTTTGTTGTTGCTGTAACAGCATAAATTGTGTCCAATTGGTTTTGACAGTACTGTCGAAGGTGAAAGTTTTTGGGCGGAATTAAATCCCGGTCCGTTCGGTCATGTCTATACTCTGTCCTGTGCATGGGGAAAGTTGCAGTGTTTTTGTCTGAAAGTGAATCTTCTATTAGAGAACACTCTCAATTAAGTCTAACCAGCTAAGTGGATGCTAGATCTTTTTGACCACGGTACGCATGCGGTAGTCACACAAATTTCTGAGGTCAGTAAACTTTCAGCTCCTCATACCAATGCGTGTAATGTAGGGATTGTATTTTATTATTGCTACTCGTTTCCAATGTGAATAAGGATTCCCCAACCTCGAACACAATTTTTTACGCAACAGATTCAGATATTTAGCATTGGATAACTCGACAGTATTCTTTAAAATTATTTAGCTATAGTTTTTCTATTGCTACAACAACAGTCAGCGGTTGGACTCAACCTGTTTAGGCTTCTAGGAGTGACCCTATTGTATTGTAGCAGATTCATATCTCAGGACAGGCTGAGCAATGAACGCTAAAACAAATAATAAACAATAAATTCCGATGTTGATGATCCCAGCTAGTGACGGCTATGTTATGTTAGCTCATATCTAAGTACTTTAGACGGCGGATTCTTCATGTAATTTTTAAATCGGTTAATCAGTTCAAGTCTTTATCTTCAATAAACCTCTATGGCTCGATAATGTATAGAACTATTTTCATGTAAGCATGCAACTAAAAAATGTTCAACTCAAATAAAATCGCCCGAAACTTAAACAAGTTCTTAAATTTTTAAACTATAAGGAACTAAAAAACTTCAATCAAGCATAGTGGGTATGATATTCAAGATAAACAATTGGATCGCTGGCAGATGCGTGTAATAAATCAGGCAATATCATCAAAGCTATTAACGGAAATGTGTCAGATGTCTAGTGGCAACACAAAAACACAAAAGACAATAAATTATATTTAGTTGTGAAACAGAACTTTATAACTTGACTTTACGAAAATAAAATCCAATTAGACTGAAGTAGCTGTGAGCGGATTAAGCACGAGTGAGTGGCAGCAATTTCAAAAGGGACACAATTTTTCTGCGTGGCTGCATATTAATATTTGTTTAAATAATTCATTATATATGTACAACTATATTTCACAAAACGACAGGTGTGGTGATATCGCTAAAAACAATAGTTCAATGAAGGGAACAACTGAGAGCTCAGAGAGATTTATTTTTCGTCATTAGGCAGCTCAGTTATTACTTCAAGCGAGATCTTTTTACAGATTTTGGTTAAAAATCAAAGTATCTGTACTTTAGTTTTATTCGAGAAAATTAATCCCATATATAGTACAAGTTATATTAAAAGTCGGCGATTACGTAGAGTTCTTAAGTACTAGTGGGCCATGGGTTTATACATCGGTAAAGAGATATGGAAGTTTGGCAGTTCACCCTCATAATAGAATTGTTTCACAATATATGATGTCAAGTAAGTTTATAGGTTTGATGAAGATATATGGGAATAACAACAATAACAATTCTTAACGAAAACAATGAAGGAAAACTTAAAACATCTAGATAAACATTAGTTCATTCTTGAGTATGAATACCATTTTTAAATGTCTTTTTTAAGTAGTTTTTATGTTTCAATACACTTGATACTTTCAAAAAGCATTTAAATCAAATAAATATCTATTTATTGTTTTGGGACATAGACTTGAGATCACGAGATTTTAAGTTTATTCAAGCATTCAACGGTGTACTTTTATAGGAAGCGAGTATCTCATTGGAAATTTGAAAGAAAGCACTAATTCCGTAGGAAAATATAAGTAGATATGCATGCTTGTATGTGTTATTTACACAGAACATAATTCCATTTGTGAAACTGGCATTTCCTGAGATTATCTCAGCAGCCGAAATACACACACATATTATTTATATTGCCTATTGTTGTTTTCTTTTGACTACAACTAAAAAAAAAAGCTAAAGAAAACATTATTACTTTAGCCGATCGGTGGCACACGTTACGCCAAAAATATATGCGCTAGCAGGTGTGCATGTGTGTACATATGAAAATGAAATGCCAATTTGAATTTTTTTATGTTTTTGCTATGTGTAGATATGCGGAGCTGAATGCAACACTGAACAAAGCGCAGCGACCCGAAAATATCCACAATAAAATAAATTTCACTTTTCTAAACAAAGCCATTTGAATTGGAATGAAGTCGAACAGATTGCAGATCAGATATATGGACAAATATACATACTATGTAGTATATATAAAATAGGAGATGGCTTGAAGCAGCCCGAGTGCCGCGCGGTGCTGAAGCTTTTATTTGTTTAATTGCGAAGAGGACAATGGGTAGTTGGAAGAGGCGGACGGTGCAGCAGTCACTTGCATGCCAAAAGTCAAGGAAAACAGTGTACAGGCGGTGTTGGCAATGAAGCCTTCAGCTAGCACAAACTGCCAGTCGCTGTATCCGCCCAATCATTTTCACACGCCTTCAAGTTGTTGGTAATGAAAAGTAGCAACCTGTTTTTATACTCTTGCAACATGTTGCTACAGAGTATAATACTTTTGTTCGCCTAACAGTTTTTTGTAAAAAAAAAATAGTCTAATCCTAACTATTCAAGCGCCTCACATACCAAAAATATGGACCACAGTGATCTATGACTGACTTTTTGCCAAAAATATCAGTCAATGTGAAAAATATATTCAGGGGTTAAAACTGAGTGCGCCGCCTCTAGGTATTAGAAAAAAATTTTTTTTTGGCCAAACATTTTCTTTTTTTAAAATCTACAGATTTTACCCACAGGCTAAGCCTTAAAAAAATTGTTTTTCGCTCCACCCTATTACATATATAGTCTAACGAATATACGTTTTGAGTGAAATTAAATTTTCGAAGCGTTTTGCTCCTCTTCAGTCAGTTCAGTTTTATCCACAACACACAAATATGGTGTTCATAATATTTAAAGCAGGTTTTATCAGAAGCATAGATATAGTATGTTACTTCAACCCAAAGTAAAATCATTTAAAATGCATTCTTCATAACTGCCGGCAGCAAGGAAATGGAGAATTTGTGGTAACGTTCTTTCATATCATTTGGTAAAAAACAAAATGATCCCTCATTTAAACGAAAATAACTTATGAATCTGCAATAAACCATTTGATTGTCTATAAAACTTTGGCTTATATGGTGTTTGGAAGTTCGAATGGGTTTGAGTGATAACAAAGGGTTTTTCTGCAGTTCTGAGCGCAGCACATCAGTATTGGCCGTAACGTTTTAGTCAACGTAATATAAATCACAACTAATGTCCATTTTAATAATTATTCACCTTTTTGTGAGCAATAACTAAATTAAATTGTTTTGATTTTTCGTTAAAATTTCTTTAGCTGTTTAATTCTCGGTCAAATCATCATTTTTTAGGTTGGCAACACTAATCAAACTTCGACTGAAGAGTTGAAAATCGTAAAAAAAATACCAGAAAAGAGTTTGGTTAATCTGAAATTATATAATATAATATTATACTATAAATAATGATTTTCGTTATTCTAATACACCTTACGCCGACTATGAATGATCAGTGTTTGAATTATTTATTTATACATTTTCTTGAAAATGTATTCTAGAGTATACCTGAACAATGCCAAAGGTTTATGCAAAAAGCCCAGACCTTTCTCTGCCCACAATGTGCACAGGATAATGTTTTTCGACTTGCCAGCTGACATTTAGCTAGGTTGGTCGAAACTTTTAATATTTTAAAGTAATTAAGTGGTGAAATTTTCTTAAAAATTAAAAAAAAATATACTAATGGTTTAGCGTTGAATATGTACGGAGTTGATTGGAAATTTTATTGCAATCCATTTACGATTTCGTCGAATGATGAAAGTAAAGCCAACATTTGAAAATATTTCCCCGGCTTTGATCCTTGCAAGTTGCAAGCGTATAAAATGTTCGGTTACACCTGAACTTAGCGCTTCCTTACTTATTTTGTTTTTGCACTTTTGTACTTTTTGTTTTCGAAGGAGAATTGAAATTAGATAAGTACGATAATAAAATACATACATACATACATACATACAAACATACATTATATACATAAGTAAAAAAAGCACATG